AGTCTTTTTTGTTTCCTTTATATGTACTGATCTACATCTGAGATTTAACCCTATTTTAGGGTAAGTCTATACCTTTAGCGCTCCACTCATTTGATTAGTAGAGTCTGGACGTTATATCCAGATTGTACTAAGCTCACTTTGGTTCATTACTATAACTAGTGGGGATAAGAGTATCCACTAGAGTGTGTAGCTGCTTATTTTTAACTCAATTACATTTGTAAGCGCACTATACACAGTAATCACCAATCTGTGTGTTTTGTTAACGGTCAACACGTTTAAGAATAAGCTACTGGGCACCCATGGTCATTATGGCTTGAGCGGGTATGGTAAACTCATACCAAGCTAGGACATTAGTTGGCTTAGTCATCAGTTGACCCTCTCAGCCAATGAATAATGTCCCTTAAAAGGGACATTCCACTGCCCAAACACAAAACACCCAAATTACTTCAGCTCATTAAAATGGTATGAGTGCAGTGTTCCGGTCCCACTTAGTTGACTGTCGCTGCATGAGAACAGCGACAACTTGCATGAGAACTTGACGGTCGCTGCATGAGAGGCACTACCTGGTGGCTAACCGAGATTTGGTCGCTGCAAGAGAACATACACAGTCAGTTAAATCCCCATAGGAAAGCATTGAAACAAAGCTTTCCTAAATTACACCATGGAAACAGATAACAGGCAAAGTCAAATTGAAACAATGCTTTCCTATGGGGAGGGCCTAAGGCACGTGCAGCACATGCGCTTTAGGCCCCGCAACCAATGCAGCTCCGTGAGATGTCTTTGAAAGGCACATGTTCTGGGAAATTGTTTAGCTTCACTGAGCAAAACAAGCCAGGAAATAACAGGACCGGTTGTTTGCTTGAAAGCCAGGGAGTGTAAGGTTTAAAAATGTCAATATCTACTGAAATCTGCACAAAATGAATGAAGAAATAAAATCGAATGACACTCTTTACACAAAGCTTTTCAGCAAGAAAAAGTGATTTAGAGGTCTGGAGTCTCATCTTTACTGGCAGCAGCATAAGAACCATCACTGTAGCGTAAGACTGCAGCAGCTACAGTTATAAGTATCAATCTGCATTTCTGCTCCTACTAGAGGCAAACTCTCTTACTCAAGAAGTCAGTAAGGGAGTGCTGATATTTCCTCTGGATAAGGTGGCGAAAAACTAAGGACTTTGTGTCATTTCATTTATTGGATTCAAAAATATTCTCAAATGTGACCAATCAGTTTTGGAGAACCAGAACTCACAAAGTATATGTATTTAATATCCATGGTAGTATTTAGAGTGAAGAGTCTGGTGGCACTGTCCCTTTATTGGAGCAGCTTTACAAAAACGAGGGCTCTCCCAAGCCTATATTTCTTGTGAAGGTTTACAATTAACAGTCTTCACCTTTGGTATTGTGAAACACATTGAATGTTTCTGGAATCAATTCTTAACTATCAAAAGCATCGCCGTTGATGTGCATCCCCCTGTAAGTAGGTCCCCAATATTTTAACAGGACGACATCCATCAGGATTTTATCAGAAGAGGAGCAGTTGCCTGGAGCACGATCATTTTGTTTTGTTATTATTTTCTAGTTAAAAGGGGGAAGTGAAAGGTTTGACTCCATACAATGGAACTGCAGGCACAACCACCACTTTAACCCCTTAAGGACCAAACTTCTGGAATAAAAGGGAATCATGACATGTCACGTGTCCTTAAGGGGTTAACTTACTATTTATTTTAAAGGGGTGTGGTTTGACTCCATATAATGGGAGGGTGTCAGAACTATGGTCACCATAACCACTATACGAGCTCCTTTAATAAGGCCTTCAATTACAGCAACCACAACAAAGTTACAGGAACACTATAGCAACTTGAAAATACTAGAGTTGTTATTGTGCATGCAATCACAGGTACAGAGTGCTGCATCAATGCTATACTGTTTGACAGATGTTCAGTCCTCTGCAGCCCGGACTCCAGAATGGCCAGGAAAATTAAGTTACAAATAGTCAAGTCTAAAATGAACACTCCAAACATCTAAAATATCTTAGTTTGCTATAGTACCTTGTGTCCTATTTTTATTTCATAAAGTGCAGATTTCAAAAGACATTGAAACTGTTATAAATTAAAGGGACATTATAGTCATCAGAACAACTACAGCTTATTGAATTTGTTCTGGTGAGTAGAATCATTATCTTCAGGCTTTCTGCTGTTAACACTGTCTTTTCAGAGAAAATGCAGTGTTTACCTTACAGCCTAGTGATATCTTCACTGGCCACTCCTCAGATGGCTGCTAGAGATCCTTCCTGGGTCATGGCTGCCTAAAATGCATCCAAACATTCAGTATCTCCTCCCTCTGCATGCAGAACTTTCCTCAGAGATTCATTGATTCAATTTATCTCTATGAGAAGATGCTGATTGGCCGGGGCTGTGTTTGAATCATGCTGGCTCTGCCCCTGATATGCCTCTTTGTCAGTCTCAGCCAATCCTACGGGGAAGCATTGTGATTGGATCAGGCCACCACTTCTGATGATGTCAGCAGACTGCTTGTTTTTCTGAGATAAACAGCATGCAGATTTACAGCTTCAGGCTTGAAGCCAGGGGCTAGATGGTGGTTTTAACACTATAGGGTCAGGAATACATGTTTGTGTTCCTGACCCTATAGTGATCCTTTAACCTTATTACACACCCTTGGCTGTACAGCAAACAACTGGTCCTGTTACTCCCTGGTTGTTTAGCACAGTGGAGCTAAACTCAAGTGGCAGGCAGGGCACCTGCCTTGAAAAGACTTCTCATTGAACTGCATTGTCAGTCTTACTGGACAGCCACAGAATGTCTGGGCTGTGTTAGAATGGAGAGCTCACAAAGGCTGCATACAAGAGATCTGCAGATTTTGCAAGCAATTTTAGATTTAACACCAATAAAAAATGCATTACATGCACAATTTCATATGGATATATCTATCATTTTTGGCTAACAGGAAACTAAATTACACCATGGAAACAGATAACAGAAGGCAAAGTCAAATCAACCCGCAAAACACAATTGTCTTTATCAACTAGTATTAGTCAACATTGCCACAAAAAACAAAAAAAACAAAATGCATTTCTAGTCACCCTTTAAAATTGTGACAAGTATGCTGAAAAGCCAGTGGTGTGTGAGTAACATGCAGATGAATGTGCAGACAATTTATGCAGTTCATAAAGGTAGTTATTGTTTCTCTGCTAGAGCGTGGAGAAAGGCTACAAGGAAGAGGAAAATCCAATTACTTACCCACAAATAATATGTAAACTGCAGTGCAAAAATAGCAATGCCTTCATTGTCAAAGGATCCAGCAACTGATCGGGATATGTAGCCTGGCACTATAGCAATAAAGCAGGCAGCTAAAAGCCCAGCTCCCTGGTTCCATAGTTCTCGAGTGAGCAGGAAAGTGGAAATTGATGTAAGGCCGCTGAAAACGGGCGCTAGGAATACACATACATCTCTTATATGAACGGTTATGTTCAGCATATTTAAAATCCAGTGGAAAAGGCCAGCAGTCACCATCAATCCAGGGTACACCTGAAAAGAGATAAAGATAGAAAATGTTCAAAATGTTCTAACCAAAAAAAAAAGTAAATCTGTAATACGAGAAGTGGTAACATATAGGTCTATAGTAAACCAGTAAGAATTAACAGCAATATTCTTATGCAGCTGCAAGACGGTTTTAGAAGTAATTGAAGAGGGTAAAGACATTTTAGGAAGGATTTTTTTTTTATTATTACTATTATTAGAGCTGCAATACTAGTTAACTTATTTTATGTATGTTTTTATGCAATTGTTTATAGTAATACATACAACTGTCTAGTGATGCATTGCATGCCCTGCTTTTTCTTAGAATTTTTTAAACCATTATATGGACTAAATTGAAGATTGCTTTAAAATTAATGGTTTTCCACAAGTCTTCATGTAGGACAGAGATGGCGAACCTTTGAGCCCGAGTGCCCAAACCGCAATACATGCCAACGTTTGTTTCCTCAACGTGCCAACACGGCAATTAAACCTGAATACTGATGTTTTTAAATTTAGAAAAAAACAACTCGTACTGCTGAATACACACACACACACACACACAGACTGCTGAATACACACACACTGCATTGAGGAATAAAGTGTGTGTGTGTGTGTTGGGAACTAGGGGTGCGCTGTGTGTGTGTTGGGGATTAGGGGTGCGCTGTGTGTGTGTTGGGGATTAGGGGTGCGCTGTTTTTGTGTTGGGGATTAGGGGTGCGCTGTGTGTGTGTTGGGGATTAGGAAGCAGAGTAGGCGCCTGCCGTTTTGGGCAGGCAGTTGCCTACTCTGCATTGATGGCGAACCTATGGCCGCGTGCCCACAGAGAGGGCCCTGGCGTGCCACCTTTGGCACGTGTGCCATAGGTTCGCCATCACTGATGTAGGAGATCGTTTTATTGAAAAACTGGAAACTTGCTGCCAAATGGATTTTTCACCTTCTTTTGGATCAAAAGCCAAAATGAAGGCGTATTAAGGCTGCCTCAGAATAGAGAACATTACAATACAGTGCCAGTCAAACCATTCACGACAGAATAATTTTTGATTAGGTCACCCACTGCAAAGATCAGAGATGAAAAAGAAAGAAAAAATAAAAAATAAAAATAAAAAGTTTGATGGATTATATACCAGGGCTTAACATTTTAAGTCCGATGCTACTCTTCACTACTCTTCTACTTGCCAGGGCTGAATTTTCACTTTCCAACGGCTAGTGGAAGTTTTGACACGTGTATATGTAGAGGTTTTTTTTTTTTTTCTCAAAACAACTGATCCAAGTAGAATTAATAGCATAACCAGCAAATATATCACCAAAAGGTGAAAAATACAAATAGTAAAATATTTTACAATGAGTGGTACTTAACTTTAGATCACGAATAACAGCCTCCCTAGGTCAATACCCAGAAGCGACCTGTATCACATATAGAAAACCAGAACAAACAATTCGAGATATGGCTGTGTAAATCTACAGAAAAAGACAAAATAAAACAGTGTGATATTGTAACAACGAAACTGTGTTGTTACAATATCACACTATGTTTTATTTTATGTCTTTTCTGTAGATTTACACAGCCATATCCCAAATTGTTTGTTGTAGTTTTCCAGAATTATTAGCATGGCTGCATACAAATGATCATGAATACAGGATCTACATGAACAACTGCTTCATTCCCAGCCCCTTCTTCACTATGGATGGATACATGGACCCAAGGTGTTTAATGTGCAGTATTCATATATTTATCCTGCAATTGTGTGACATGGGGCCCAACATGTGAAGAACGCTATGGGACAGGGGAGGTGAAGAACGCTATGGGACAGGGGAGGTGAAGAACGCTATGGGACAGGGGAGGTGAAGAACGCTATGGGACAGGGGAGGTGAAGAACGCTATGGGACAGGGGAGGTGAAGAACGCTATGGGACAGGGGAGGTGAAGAACGCTATGGGACAGGGGAGGTGAAGAACGCTATGGGACAGTATGGGACAGTGGAACGGTGAAGAACGCTATGGGACAGGGGAGGTGAAGAACGCTATGGGACAGGGGAGGTGAAGAACGCTATGGGACAGGGGAGGTGAAGAACGCTATGGGACAGGGGAGGTGAAGAACGCTATGGGACAGGGGAGGTGAAGAACGCTATGGGACAGTGGAGGTGAAGAACGCTATGGGACAGTGGAGGTGAAGAACGCTATGGGACAGTGGAGGTGAAGAACGCTATGGGACAGTGGAGGTGAAGAACGCTATGGGACAGTGGAGGTGAAGAACGCTATGGGACAGTGGAGGTGAAGAACGCTAGGGACCAGTGGAGGTGAAGAACGCTAGGGACCAGGGAAGGGGGTGGGGAGGAAGAGAGGAACATTAAGGGAGGACACTAAGGTACAGGGAAGGGAAAAGGAACACTGGGGTAGCGGTAGACCACTAAAAGTGAAGGGAGAGGAACATTAAGGGGAATGGGGGGGCACTAAGACAGCTAGTGGTGGTCGGGTGGGGGCGTGAGTTCCTACCGCACATAGTTACACACAAATATTCTTGAAAACCAAAAATCTGACTGGCATGTATATTTGGTGCATTTACCACTTCAGAAAAGAAGTGCAAAAAAAAATAAATACATATATACACATACATATATATACATATATATATATATATATATATATATATATATATATATATATATATATATATATATATATATATATATATATATATATATATATATATATATATAAATATTACACACACACATATATACATATATATAAATATTACACACACACACACACACACACACAATATCAGCCTGAAAGTTCACAAATTATAGGTATCTGCTCTATAATTTAAAAAAAAAAAACTCAATATCGGTTGATCCCGAATTTACACCATTGAATATGACCTATAAAGTTAAAATTCAACACATCTTAAGAAAAAAAATAAAAAAATTAAAAATAAATTAAAGAAGTTATAACAAAGAAATTACTATTCCTCTTTAATAAGTGCTAGCATTCGATTTGAGAATCCCATCTGTAAATAAAAATGGATAATCATAAGTTTAGTAGAAGTATTCATATTAACATTTCCAAGATGTTAAGTAAAAATAAAATTTAAATAAAAATACAAAATTAACAAAAATAAAATAGGTATGCTTTGGAAAGGTTTTACTCATTGAAATGTACCTTGGTCCTGAAACTGTTTGAATCCTACTTAACTAAATAAACTGTCAAATTAGAAAAGGATCATTAGACAGCCCATTTAAAAAAAGTGTTATTAAAAAAAATTAAGGTATGATTTTTTGGGATGTGCTATATACGGTTAAATCTTTGTAAACAGTTTTTAGCACAGACGCTAGCAGTGCTGTTGCTCTAGTGTAATCTGTTTAGTGATCAACCTGGCATTTTTGTTGCTAGACAATTGCCTGGTAGCAGGAATCTCCATCTTTCACCTTTTCATATAAACGTTTAGTGTTTCTGGTCCTTCAGCAACTACCTGTTACTTTTCCCTTACATAACGCAATTCTCTACCTAGTTACAAGTTGGAGGCACTTTGGTTTTTAACCCCTGTTTCAGGCAGATCTCTGCAGATTTATGTTTTGTAAATCCTAGCTTTTTTGCCAAGCAACTGGTACACCAAATGCAGAACCACAGTCTTTGCTACTCTCGCTATGAGCTCACTTTCTTGCTCTCACTTTGCTATCAGTGTCCTATAAAGGACATCATGCATATGTCGACATTGTCTTCGTAGAAGCCTACTATAGGGCTGAAATATTGTACTTGTTTGCTGTGACACTGAATCTGCTTCAATAAAAGGCAGTTAGAATTTGCAGAACAAATTTCAGGTGAATCTCATTTGTGTATTTACAGTAATTAAAATCAGGTTTATCAAATGCAATTGAAATAGCTCAACACAAGGAATGCTTCAAGTGGTTTCCCCAAATTCAACTGAAAATGCAACTTATAATGGACCTCTAGAGACTCAAACTTATTCCACCCCTTCATGGCAAGCATCTTTAATACTTTGTAGAGAACCCTTTTGCTATTATGACCTGCTGCAAACTAGATGCATAGCCAGCTTTTGGCAATGTTTCTAAGGAATCTTAGCCCCTCCAGTTCAGGAATATTCTTGGGCTTGTGTGCTGCAACCACCTTTTTCAAATCCCCCCCCAGAAATTTTCTATGGGGTTCAAATCAGTTTACTGATGGCCACTGTATAGTTTTCCAGGACTTCTGCAATCAAACCTTGGTGGACTTTCAGGTATGCTTAGGAAGATTGTCTTCTTGGAAGGTCCAATGACCCCCAAGCTTCAGCTTTCTCAGACGGCATGACGTTTTCTCGTAGGATTTCCTGATACTTCAATTAATCCACCTTGCCTTCCACACATTATACGTTTCCAATGCCAGACAATGCAAAGCAGCCCCAGAGCATCATCAAGCCGCAATTTAACTGTAGGCAGAGAGCTTTTTTCCCCAGCGTATGCGTCAGTCTTCTTTCTCCTGATATACCGCTGATCCATTGAGCCTAAAACTTCCAGTTTCATTGCTCTACAGAACATAACCCAAAACTTGTGGCTTATTTAGATTATTTTGAGCATATTCGAGAATACTTTTGTGTTTTTGGGTCAGTAGTGGTGTACGTCTAAGTTCTGGCATGGAAACCTTCTGCGTTTAGTATGCTCCTTACTGTGCTCACTGAAACCTAAGTGCCTGTTGCCACCAAGTCTTGCTGTAGGACTTTTGCAGTCACAAGTGTTTCCACAACCTGGCTTCTCAGAAATCTGGTTGCAGCCATTAATGGCTTTCTTTTTCTGTCCATCCAATGAAACCACTGTCCTTTAACTCTCTAGGAACATTCAATGCCATCACTATCTTTTTGTATCATGTTTGTTTGGAAAGGGCAATTATTTCTGCTCTTGACTTTGTGAACTTTTTTTGATTTAGCCATATTTCTAACATGAAGTCAAACATGACTCAAACCTCTAGCCAGTTCAGGCATTAAAAAAAAAAAAAAAAGTTCCAGCTCAAGCACAACTGGTGCAAGTAATGAAGTGTACTTGATACAGCACCTGTGTCACACATTTGTGGAATTGTCAGGGTTTCTATTCATGAGGTTGAATAATTTGACAATAGAGAGGTCATAAATTGCATTTTCAATTGAATTTGGGGAAATCACTTGAAGTATTTGTTGTGTTGAGCTATTAATTGCGCTTTGTCTAAATTTTGACAATAGTATGCAATACAAAAATAGTTCAGAACAGGCAATTTTATTGTAACCCACAGCAACGTTTCAACCCTGCCGTCTTGGTCAAGCTCGACAAAGCTTGTCAGTTTGACAAAGACCGCAAGGTCGAAACGTTGTTGTGGGTTCCAATGAAATTGCCTGTTCTGATCCTTTGAGTGCCTGAACAATTTTTTGTATTGTATACCATTGCCATTGGAACCTGGTGCTTGGTTCTAGTTTAGTTGCACAATGGCTCAGATTGGTGGGATTGAGTGCAGTTCTTTAATAAACCAGATTTTCATGGTGGTTGAATAATTTTGAGTACAACTGTATACACACGAAAAATAACCAAATAGACAAAAAAAGTAAACAAATTCAGTGCTTAAGTTTATGCTACAACATACTTGACCTAACAAGGGGATTATTGAAAATTAAACAATTTACTTTAAAAATCAGATTAAACAAAAAGGCAAGAACAGAAATGGAAAACATAAAAAGAACCAATTAAGTAAAATCTTTAGAGATTTAAAATTGTACCACATGTATAATGTAAATAACCGGAAGATCTAAAAACACTTTACTAATCTGTTAATGCACTTTTTAATTTCTGCAAATCACCTTGGTTAAGAAGTAAAATAAAGGATAAAAGCAGAGGGTGCACCTTAAAGGAATGGTATTGTAAGTAAAAATACTTTATATGGGTAGATAATATACAGTCCAAGTAAGTGAACACTAGTCCAAAATAGTGTAATACACAGCAGTAGGGAGAGTTCTTTGTGGAACAGCAGATAGGATGGATAATCACGAGTGTAGGCTTGTGATCCGATGGAACATGTGGGGAAGAAACAAAAGAAAGAACTCCAATGGTGCAGTATATAGATGCACTCAGTTTCTGAGGTTATAATAAGGAACTATTAAATCCAGCTCTGGTTTGGAATGTGTGAAGTGGAATGATCCCCACTCAAGGATATTTAGAATTCTTCTGGTTTTCAGGTGTATATAACAGCAGAGTAGTCAAAAAAAAAAAAAAAAAAAAATATAGTGCTCACTGTATCTTTAAATAAAAAGATGAAAAATATGAAATATACTCACAGTATATTGAGCTGTCTCACTGCTCGATGTATAACGTATGTGTGGTATAACCCCCACCTAAATTCTTTGTGCTTCTTATGAGTGATAAAAACAATGTCAGGTCAGGATATTTGAAATAAAAGAAAAATAAATAGTGAAAGGAATATGGCAACTGTAATATATAAGGCCAAAAATTCCTTTATCACAAATTAAAAAGGTTTCTCGATGTGCTGTGCCTCAACAGGCTTCTAGTATAACGTCTATAGGAAAGCATTGG